TCAACAAAGTACATCAACTATCACAAAGAACACACTTTCTACCTTAAATCTTTCTTTGAAACTGTAAGGGGTCAGCAGTAGTGCTGTCTGTATATAGATGCATAAACATAGAGTAAATTATAACATCGAATAAATTCGGGCATTACAGTCTCAAATGCAGAGTAGGGAGAAGAACCTTTGAAGAAAAATGATTTTGCGTTTAAGATTCACTAGAGGATATGTACAGCTGTTAGAGTAATTACGTTAGTCGTTTCCTAAGTGTAACAGTAAGCACCAAACAGTCTTTCTCATATATGAGCACTTAGGATGTACTCATGAATGCTTTTGCACTATTTTAGAAGGCACATTCAATAATTGCAAAGCTTATGGGTCCTACACCTGAACAGATCTTGTACGTCTGAAAGTACCAGGAGAAATGACGATACAACTTTTTTGCATCTGATAAATATTCATAAACAAGAATATAATGCAAAACAATTAAACTGAAAAGCTCCAGATCCCAACAGAACCTCCAGCCAGAAATCAAATTCCAAACGATATGGAATCTTGCCAACTTCAAGGGTTTTCACAACGAGAAAATCAAAAGGAGGAATTATAAACGAACTCGACCGTAGCATGTGAGCAGGCACCGTGCCAAATATTGATTGGGAACACAACAAAAATCCATTCCTACAATCCAAATTATTTACATCTTACCCCCAGATAGTTAAACCAAACATTTAACGAAAATCATCAGCAAGCCCGTCTGGGTATCACTATCTGTTGAATTCTGACCAGTCACTCTAATTTCAAATACGGAATTAAGCAAGAATTACCAAATAAGGTTAAGAAAAACAAAAATTTAGAGGGGAAAAAAGCAGACAAAATTATGCGTAGCAAATTTTAAACCCTCCCCAACAATTGCAATTCTAGTGCGACATTCAGTTCTGTGACATGAGAGAATCTGCATGGTCACCTTGAAATAAAAAACTTCAGAAAAAAAAAAAACAAATGAATGAATAATACAACCAAATAAACGTCAGGCAGGCCGTGAAGCATCAAAAAATAAAAAAAGAACTTCAGAGCACCAACAACCAAAGTAAGCAGGAGCCAGCAAAGGACCAACCTCCCGTCACCGAGCCATCGAAGATCACGAAACCACTCTGCGCAGCGTCGTTCTACCTTGCAAAATTTTCCCCCTATTTCTGCACCTCTCCA